TAGTCGTAGTAGTAGTGGTAGTAGTGGTAGTAGTAGTAGTGGTAGTAGTAGTAGTCGCAGTAGTAGTAGTAGTAGTAGCAGTAGTAGTAGTAGTAGTAGTAGTAGTAGTAGTAGTAGTAGTAGTAGTAGTAGTAGTAGTGGTAGTAGTCGTAGTAGTAGTAGTAGTAGTAGTAGTAGTAGTAGTAGTAGTAGTAGTAGTAGTAGTAGTAGTAGTGGTAGTAGTAGTAGTCGTAGTAGTAGTAGTGGTGGTAGTAGTAGTAGTAGTAGTAGTAGTAGTAGTAGTAGTAGTAGTCGTAGTCGTAGTAGTAGTAGTAGTAGTAGGAGGAGGAGGAGGAGGAGGAGGAGGAGAAGGAGGAGGAGGTGGAGGAGGAGGATGAGCAGGACGAGGAGGAGCAGGAGAAGGCGCAGGAGGAGCTGGAGAATGCGGAGGAGGAGGCGGAGGATGAGGAGTAGGAGGAGCCAGCCACCAGGCCAGCTAGTTCCGCCTGCGCCAGCCTCACTTTCGCGCGTCGCCTGTTCTGTCTTCTTTGTTCTCACTGCGTGCTTTGACTAACTTTAAGTTGGGCCTGTCCTTCTACAGGAGGAAAATTCAAATCTAGTAGAACATATTCGGGGAACGGGTTGTGTTTGCCTTTTTCGCTACTTCTGAATATTGTTTGATTATTTTTTCCATCCAAAATCCGTCTGTAGGGGGACATGCCCGACCTACAACTAGTGGAGGTTCGGGAACCAGTATCATAGCAGAGAGGGGACCATCTCAAAGACGTCCTTGACCACTGTGCCAGAGGATGGCCCGACACAAAATTCAGCCCTACAGCTGCCCAGCGCACCTGTGGCGATGACCCACGGAAGCTGCGCCACAGAAGTTGGGTGCCAGCTACTCTGAGCGCGGTAGTGTGCACGTGTACGTTTGTTCGTGCTGTTCGGTCTTTATTATCCGGTCCTTATATTACTAAGGCTGTTAATCGCTGATTGTTCTCCAATCCTCCGCATCGGCGACAGGCATCGTTACTCTAGCCCTTGGGCACTCTGCCGTTGTCTGTACTCTTTATAGTGTATGTTGCATGGCATCAGTTGCCACTATAACGCTGCAAGCCTCGCTTATAAATTAGAAAAAGAAGCAGGGGAGAGGAGGAGGAGGAGGAGGAGGAGGAGGAGAAAGGGGAGGAGGAGGAGGAGGAGGAGGAGGAGGAGGAGGAGGAGGAGGAGGAGGAGGGGGGAGGGGGAGGGGAGGAGGAGGAGGAGGAGGAGGAGGAGGAGGAGGAGGGAGGAGGAGGAGGACCGGAGGAGGAGGAAGGAGGAGGAGGAGGAGGAGGAGGATGAGGAGGAGGAGGAGGAGGAGGAGGAGGAGGGGGAGGGGGAGGAGGAGGAGGAGGAGGAGGAGGAGGAGGAGGAGGAGGAGGAGGAGGAGGAGAGGAGGAGGGAGGAGGAGGAGGAGGAAACGGAAGACGGGGGGAAGAGAGGGAGGAGGATGGGAGAGGAAGGAGGGAGGAGGAGGAGGAGGAGGAGGAGGAGGAGGAGGAGGAGGGGGGAGGGGGAGGAGGAGGAGGAGGAGGAGGAGGAGGAGGAGGAGGGAGGAGGAGGAGGAGGAGGAGGAGAAGGGGAGGAGGAGGAGTGAGGAGGAGGAGAGGAGGAGGAGGAGGAGGAGGGAGAGGAGGAGGAGGAGGAAACGGAGAGACGAGGGGGAAGAGGAGGAGGGGGAGGAGAAGCGAGGGGGAGAGGAGGAGGGGGAGGAGGAGGAGGAGGAGGAGGAGGAGGGAGGAGGAGGAGGCGAAGGAGAAGGCGAAGGCGAAGGGAAGGCGAAGGGACGGCGAGGCGAAGGCGAGGCGAAGGCGGAGGCGGAGGAGGAGGAGGAGGAGGAGGAGGAGGACGCGGAAGAGGACGCGGAGGAGAAGGAGGGGGAGGAGCAGGGGAGGAGGCGGAAGAGCAGGAGGAGGAGGGAGGAGGAGGAGGAGGATAGGGGGGGAGGCGGAGGGGAGGAGGAGGGGAGGAGGAGAAAGGGGGGAGGAGGAGGAGGAGGAGGAGGAGGAGGAGGAGGAGGAGGAGGAGGAGGAAAAGGAGGAGGAGGAGGAAGAAGAGGAGGAGGGGGAGGAGCAGGTGGATGATTGGGGAGGAGCAGGAGGAGAAGATGAGGGAGGAGGAGGGAGGAGACGAGGGGGAGGAGGAGGAGAAGGAGGAGGAGGAGGCGGAGGAGGAGGAGGGGGAGGGCACCGCCGTGTCCTCGTCCCCCCCCCGCCGCACGGCAGGAGCCCCAGGGCCGCGGCCTCGGCGGCGATTCGCCCGCGCGCACGGGGGTTGCGTCCGACCGATGCCTCCTTCGCGGCGGACGGCGACGGCGGCGACGACGAGGGCGACGGCGACGGCGACGACGGCGACGACGACGCCGTCGGCGACAACGACGACGACGACGTCGGCGACGGCGACGACGACGACGTCGGCGACGACGACGGCGACGACGACGGCGACGACGACGACCGCGGCGACGACGACGGCGACGACGACGACGACGACGGCGGCGACAACGACGACGACGGCGACGGCGGCGACGACGACGACGGCGACGACGACGGCGACGACGACGACGGTGGCGACGACGACGGCGACGACGACGACGACGACGGCGACGACGACGACGACGGCAACGACGACGACGACGGCGACGACGCCGTCGGCGACGACGACGACGACGACGGGGGCGGTGACCACGACGACCACGACTACCACGACAGTGACGGCGACGGCGACGGTGACGACCTCGACGCGCACGGGGGCTGCGTCCGATGCCTCCTCCGCGGCGGGCGACGACGGCGACGACGACGGCGACGACGACGACGACGACGACGTCGTGGGCGACGCCAACGGCGACGACGACGACGACCTCGGCGACGACGACCGCGACGACGACGACGGCGGCGACGACGACGCTCGAAAGCAGACGCCGCAGGCCTGGACGCCCTGCTCCGTCTCGTGCGACGACGACGGCGACGGCGACGACGACGACGACGGCGGCGGCGACGACGACGACCACAACGACCACGACGACCATGAAGGCGACGGCGACGGCGACGACGACCTCGACGACGACGACGACAACGACCACGACGGGCCACACGCATCAGGTGCGGCAGGTGTCCATGCGCGCAATGCGCGCCGTGTGTCCCAGACGCGCCGTACTCATCACGGATGCTGACTGTGCCGCGTGCTCGGCACGCTCTTTGTGCGGCAGGTGCCCGATGTGCGCAAGGTGCGCCGGGGTCGACCAGTGCACTTGACGTCACACATCGGGAAATATGCCACAAGCCCAACACCCCGATCAAACCACTGCAATGGGGTGGCGAGCATCGCGTACGGCACGTGCACCTGAAATTATGTTACACTGGTTTAGGGGGGGGCGCATCGCGGAGAATGTGATTTCGCCTGGTCACCACTGGCAGAAGTGACGATGGGTTGCTGGCACACGGTCCAGTGCTTGCCGCAGCCTGAAGTGTTTTGTTGTAGCAGGGGAGAGGGTTGACTCGTTGATAGGCAGCATTGAGATGGCGCGCTCCAGCAATGGCCTCGCCTGCGAGGATCGGCGGGCGAAGGAGTTGGCACCTCTCTCTCGGCGGCAGGCGGCGGACGTGAAACGCCTCCACCAGCGGAAGCCCCGCGGAAGGCCAGAGGAAGCTGGCAGACGCAGACATCGACATCGAGTTTACAAGGATTTGCATGTTTGGGGGTTCACGGCTTCGGGAGCCAGCCATGAGGGTTCGCGGGAGAATAAGGATATCGGGTCGCTTTAGAATTGGGACAAGGGCAGGAGGAATGGTACACGCATGGGCAATGGAAATGGTGCGGGTTAGTGTGATGGTGTTCTTGACCACGATTTCGAGGTGAGTTCGGTTAGGGTCACGATCCAATCTAGAACGCAGTACTGCATCATGCGACAGCACATAGAGGTGCAGGCATAAACAGAGCAAGTGTCAGACACGTGGATTCCAGCCCAGTGTTCATTAGCAATGCTCTTGCTGTTTCTGTGTTATGTGTTTGGTAAGCGATAGGTTGTTTGCTCTTATTCTTCGTATGACGCGCTCATGGTGTAAAGAGATGTTTGTACCCCCGCCCGTTGGCAGCATGATCGGCAATCGGCGTTGTTTGCCTAGGTAGGGATCGCGAGACCGAGTTCTGCAACACAGACGTGTCGTGCGAGGCCCGTGCGATGTACCTCTCTTATTGCCACAGACGGTCTAAGGAGCTCTTCGTTTGAGCTGCTTTCCCGCCCCATCATGCGGGGGGGTGTTCGTCAAGGACGGTGCCCAGCCGGCTTCAGACTCTGGAGGATTCCTTGTCTGATGCGGGCGAACGTGATAGCCATGGCTAATCCACGAATGTGGACTTTCACCAGCTTTCAGACCCTGGGTACCTTACCCATTGGTTTTTCGAGCGATGCCCCCGTCGCAGCTGGACTGCGCGAACTCCGCAGCTCGATGCTGTGATGACTTGTGGGCACCGTCGCTGCCACACGTTCAGGCACGATCGCGGCCACGATCGTGCGTGCAGGCCGGCTGCACTGCTGCACTGAGCGGCCCACGCACCAAGCCGCACTGCTCCGCAGCTGCGCTGGACACACGGCGCGCGCCTGCGGTCAGGAGCTCCGGCTCCGCGCCTCGCTCCGCCAGCTCTGGGCCACCCGCGCTGCGGCGCGGCGCGCCGTCCACGGCCCGGCCCCCGAGCGTCAACATTGGGAGGAGGAGGAGGAGGAGGAGGAGGAGGAGGGAGGAGGAGGAGGAGGAGGAGGGGAGGAGAGGAGGAGGAGGGGGAGGAGGGGGAGAGGAGGAGGGAGGAGGAGGAGGAGGAGGAGGAGGAGGAGGAGGAGGGGGAGGAGGGGGAGGAGGAGGAGGAGGAGGAGGACAAGCCATGGCAAGGCATAGCGTGTCGCCGGGTCCACCGCTGCGACGCGCCGCCGTGCAACAGCTCCCGACCGCGTGCGCAGCATGCGCTGTTCGTCGACGTGTGGCCAGATTTCTGTCAATCCTCTGGCCGTGTTCTCTTGTCTCCTCCTCTTCGGCTGGCCCTTCCGCCGGTGTGATGGTGCCCCACATGTCAGCGAACGCTTGCATCTCGCGGTCCAGGAGCCACCCTCGGCAAGCTTCGCTCGCAAGTCGGCCGTGCAGCTGCAGCCTCATTCAAGGGTGGTGGCGGTGGCGACGTCGGTGATGTCATGTGATGTAATGGTTCACGTAAGAGCGAGCGGGCGCAGCGCACCTGCATTCATATCAAGCGGATGGCAACTCGCATCAACCCTGCGAACCCCCCACCGACACGGGTCGGACATATTTCAGGCGAATCAGCCAGGGGTGTTTGGCCCAAAGTTTTCAGCGAAGCCGAGCTCGACCAGAGGCGCACACCCAAGCAGGGTGCAGGTGGATCCTAGTCCCACCGCTACACGATCAGGCAGAGTCTCCAGAGTCCTCGCCCTCGCCTCATCGCCCTCCCCTCGCCTCCTTGTCCCCCCTCGCCTCCTCGCCCTCCTTGTCCCCCCCTCCTCCTCGCCCTCGCCTCCTCGCCCTCCCCTCGCCTCCCTGCCTCCCCCTTTGTCCCCCTCGCCTCCTCGCCCTCCCCTCGCCGAGAGGCCTCCCGGGACTGCGAGCTCGGGGAGTGGGAGGATTGGGGCGACTGCTCCGCCTCCTGCAGCGGTACGATGGAGCGCGCCAGGAGTGGCTGCCGCCGTCGTCTCGTCGCACCCCCGCCGCTGCAGCAGCCGCCGCCGCCGTTGTCGTCGTCGTCGTCGTCGTCGTCGTCGTCGTCGTCGTCGTCGTCGTCGCCGCCCGTCGTCACTCGTCGTCGTCGTCGTCGTCGTTAAGTCGGGCATGTTGCTCTACAGGAGGAATATCCCCAAATTGTCAAAACAAGGTAGTATGGGGACGATGGTTCTATAATTGTCTTACCTTGTGAATAGTCTGGACTTGACAAAAAATCGCCCAACATCTGCCTGTGTGAGGACATACCCGACGTAACTCTGGCGACCTTGGGATCGTCCCTAAGGTTTTTCTCCACGGAGCGCGCCAGAGGTGTGTTCCCTATAGACAGCCCGTCTGGAAGGGGTGCGTTCGGTGAATTTGTGTGCATGATCGTCAAGTTGGTGTTGGCGGAGCTCCTCATCAGAGCAGCGTTCTTTGATGGATGTTTCAATCAACGAGATGGATTGCAGACAGGCTTCAGTTGCGCCAATAGAGTGGCGAAAACATACCTCGCCATGCATTTGGACCCCTTCTTACTGCAACACCTACATCTTCGGAAGTGTTGCAGGCACATCGACGACGGTGGGGCCATCATTCCTGCCAGGTACACCCCCCCCTCAGTGCTATGCACCGCCTTAAGCGCACGCGAGGAGCTGGGGATATAATTGCTTGCTGGTTCTAGTTGGCCGTCTTTGAGCTGCCTGCCGGAGGCTGAGGACCGTGCTCCTGATGCGATCGCCGCCGCAGCCTCCTCCTCCTCCTCCTCCTCCTCCTCCGCCTCCTCCTCATACTCCTCCTCCTCCTCCTCCTCCTCCTCGCCTCCTCCTCCCGGGATGGACCCTGCCAGGATCGCTCCAGCTCTGGTCCCGGCGACGGGCCGAGGGCTCCCGGGGCGGGCGGCTCCTCAGGAGGCGTCGCGTCGCGTCGCGGGGCGCCGGGCCGCCCCTCGGGGAGGCCGGCGCGAGCAGGCTCCCGCGGCGCGTTTGCGCCCGCGGGCGAGGCGCGGCCACCCTGCCGCTGCCGCTCCTGCCCCTGCCCCCGCTGGATCCTGGCCCCCCCCGCCTCCACCTCGTCGTGCGGTGCCTTCTCCATAGGAGGCTCCCTCTTCTCTCCTCTCTCTGCCTTTCCCCCCTCCTCCTCGTTGTGTTCGTCGTCGTCCTGCTCCTCCTCTTCCTCCTCCTCCTCGTTGTCACCCTTCACGCGGTCGGAGATGATGAGGGGAAACGACGACCAAGATGGACGGCGACGGCGTCTCCGAAGGCGGTGGCGGCGGCGGCCACGGCAACGACGGCCAGTGGATGGTCAATGTTCTATTCCAGCAGTCACTTCGGTCCCAGATCAAGGTGGAGTTGAGGAGAGAGGGCGAGAGAGCGAGGGAGCGAGAGGGAGAGGGAGAGATAACAAACACACATAAAGAAAGATCAGGGGAACAGAGAGAGAGAGAGACAGAGCGAGACAGAGAGAGATCTACATAGATACGCCGAGCGAGGGAGAGAGGGATATCTATATGTATGCATACATATACATCTATACGCACATAGGAAACAAGAAAACAAGGCCGAGAGCTATAGACCAGGCAACGTGCATGTGCATGTGTGGAGAGATGGGGAGGGATTGGGCGAGCGGCCACGTCGGGCCGCTGCCGGGGCAGAAGGACCCGCTCCCCCCCTCCCCCCGCGAATTGGAATGGAGGGACGCAAGTAGAGGGGAGGATCAGGGGCGGGATCAGCAGCAACAGTTGCATCAGGGGCTTCAGGAGGGAAGCTGCTGCTGATGGTCAGGATGATGAAGAGGATGATGATGATAATGATGATGATGATGATGATGATGATGATGATTATGATGATGATTATGATGATGATGATGATGATGATGATGATGATGATGATGATGATGATGATGTGGATGCTGATGTGGATGATGATGGTGATGATGGTGATACTTATGCTGATGTTGATGGTTGTGATGCTGATGGTGATGGTGTTGATGCTGGTCATGCTGATGATACCGATGGTGATGCTGAGGACCGTGCTGGTGTTGATAATGTTGATGATGACGATGACGGCGCCGATGGTGATTATGATGAGGGTGATGGTGATGTTGGTGATGGTGAGGATGATGGTGATGGCGATAAATGTAATGATGCACGTGGTGTTGGTTATACAGATGACGGCGATGCTGCTGCGTATGACGATGATGCCGATGGTGAGGATGATGGTGTCGATGATGATGCTGGTTATGTTGATGGGCTTGATGGTGATGAAGATGATGATGATGGTGATGATTATGGTGATGATAATGATGATGAGGAGGAGGAGGAGGACGAGGAGGATGGGGAGGAAGAGAAGCAGGCGGAAGAGGAGGAGGAGGAGAAGGAAGAGGAGGAGGAGGAGGACGAGGAGGATGAGGAGGATAATGAGGAGGAGGAGGAGGAGGAGGAGGACGAGGAGAAGTAGGAGCAGGAGGAAGGCAGCAGCAACAGGAGAAGAGGAAGGAGGAGGACGCGGAGGAGGAGGAGGAGGAGAAGGAGGAGGAGGATTAGGAAGAGGAGGAACATGATCAGGAGGAGGAGGAGGCGGAGGAGGAGGAGGAGGTTGTTGACGCTCTACGCTGTTGCGCCCACGGCTGGCACAGGAAGAGCGAGGAGGAGGATGCGGTGCAACAAGAGCGAGGGCGGGAGGGAGGAGGAGCAATGAATAATGAGGGGCGGGACGGAGAGAAAGAGAGAGAGAGAGAGAAGGTAGGGGGGGAAAGGTGGTCGAAGGGAGGAGGACGAGGGGAACGAGAAGGAGGAGGAGGATGGGAAGGAGGACGAGGAGGAGAGCGAGGAGGAGGCGGCTGCAGCAGGAGCAGCAGCGGCTCGAAGGAGGGACAGCCGTGCGTCCTGGCCGCCGCGCCCAGTCCCGCCCCCCCGCGCCCCCGCTTGGCATCGCTCGGACGTGTGTGTGCGTTTACTCAACTACTGCGCTTGTCGGGGTGACTCTTCTGGGGGCGGATTATCTACCCTCTAGTCCTGGACCGTCTCGCGAAGAAAAAGATGCACGACACCGTCAAACCCACGGGGAAGGGACGTCCGAGCGATGACGCGGGCCCGAGGAGGGTGAGAACCTACGGGAGAGGCCGCCGCGCGCCCCGCTGCCCCCCCCTCCCCGTTCCCCCCGCGCGCGCCTCGGGGGGGGGGGGGTGAGGGCGCCCCCCTTGCAGCCGAGGGGCAGCAGCAGGAGCGCGGGGGGGGGGGGATGGAGGGTGGCAAGGGCGGAGGGAGGAGGGAGGGGGGAGGGAGGAGAGGAGGAGGAGAGGAGGAGGAGGGGAGGAGGAGGAGGAGGAGGAGGAGGAGGAGGAGGAGGAGAGGAGGAGGAGGAGGAGGAGGAGGAGGCGGAGGAGGAGGCGGAGCAGGAGGAGGAGGAGGAGGAGGAGGAGGAGGAGGAGGAGGAGGAAGAGGCGGAGGAGGAGGAGGAGGAGGAGGAGGAGGAGGGAGAGGAGCAGGAGGAGGGGAGGCAGGAGGGGGAAGGGGAGACACCACTGCGACACCATGAGACACAGTCGGACCGAGGTATAAGATCGAGGTCGGCTCGGGGAGGGGGTGCCCTGATGTATTTCGTGCTTGCCGGGTGTGTTTTTGTGCATCTTGGGCGGAGGGTGCCCGAATGCTCTTCACCTTAGCCGTCGGAGGGTCTCATGTTCTGGAGGGATTGCTTTTCTGTCCTAGGTCGGGCTGCAGGAGGCTGCTTTTGCAAGGGTCTGGCGATATTCCGGGTTCTGGGGCCCGCCCAGTCGGGTAATTTTGCCTTGTCGGTTGCGCAGGTCCGCGGGAGGTGCACTGCCGTGCCTGTGCGCTTGTGCGCTCGGGCACGCGTAGTTTTGCCTAACGAGACACGGTTAGGTTATGGGCCGTTGCCCCCCCCCTCCCCACACCCACCGGAGAACCTGGTCCATCGCCGAGAAGTGATCGCCGAAAATATGCAAACGATCTCCAGGAAAGGCGCTCCTTCACTAGCCTCGCTCGGCAAAGGGGCCACTCGAAGGCAGGTGCTGGAGCGCCCGCGCACTCGCCCGAGCCTCGGGCCCCAGGAGGGAGGCACTGATCGCGGAGCGGTGCACCGATCGCGGAGCGAGGAAGCGTGACACGGACAGTTGGCCGGAGCGCTTACGGCGAGGAATTTTCGGCGAGCCTCAGAGAGAATGGAAGAGACTGCACCGATCGCGGAGCGAGGAAGCGTGACACGAACAGTTGGCTGGAGCGCTCACGGTGAGGATGTTTTGGCGAGCTCCAGAGGCAACGAAGCAGAATGCACCGATCGCGGAGAAAGGAAGCGTGACACGAACAGGTGGCCTGAGCACTTTCGGTCAGGAACTTCTGGGTAGCTTCGGGCCCACCCTGCCGACTTCGGGCTTCGAAAGACCTAACATAATACCCTTGTTGGGCAGTCGGCTTCGGGGGCTGGCGGCGTACTCCGCCGGTTCAGGCCCACCACGCTGCGGCGCGACACGTTATCCCCTCGCCCCGGTCCCCGAGCGGCAATGTCCAGAGCTCTGTCGAGCCTCCCGCCCCGCTGAGCGGAGCGACGCGCTATCCGCTCGCGAGGCATAGCATGTCGCCGGGGCTGTGGCCGCGACAGGCTCAGCAGGAGTTCCTTACCGTAGCTCGGCGTTGCTTGGGCTAAGACTGTTGGGAGGGTTGGCAGACGTGTGTGTGTGTGTGTGTGTGTGTGTGTGTATGTGTATGCCGCTGTCAATGCCCAAAAACCAGCAAATTCATTGCAAACCAGGGCTCAGAAAATCCGAGCTGGAGAGCATGAGGATTGGACAGGGCTCCAACCCACGGCGACAGTTCTCTTTGGTGCGCGAGAGCCCCAGTTTGTCGATGTCCCCGTCCATGGGGCCCTGCCAGCTACGATTCGGTTCGTTGTGATTCGATCGTCCTGCTCGGGCCGCGATTCACATTCGATTCGACTCGGTTCGATTCGCCGGCATCGGCCAGGGCCAACCACAGCTATGCGCGGCGATCCGATTTTCCATTCGATTCGCTGGTGATCCGACCTGTTTCCGGTCGACCTGTCTCTTCAACGATTCGATCCAGTTCCCCTGAGGTCTGACATTGCAAAACAAACTTCAACATCGCAGGAAGTCACCAATGGAGCCCCAGACCCCACCTTTCTGCAGAATTGTTCGAGCCGGATGGACTTGTGAGGGTTGGCCCGAAATCGGGCGAGCACGCCCGGTGTGAACCAATGGCAACGCCTGGATCTCGGGGTCAGGCAGGCTTGCCGCAGGCGCACCAGGCAGCATGCACCTCTGCCAGCAGGTGCCCCCGCGGTCGTGCACCTGCTGCTCCTCGAGGCCCCTATCACCACCCACCAAACCACCCCAACCCAACCCGAAGGCTTCAGATTGACCTCCATTTCCAGTGGGGGGGGGTCGGGGAACATCGAGAAAACACATATGGAACCCGTACCCCCCCAACCCGAAATTCGGGTCTTCGGGTTGGGTTGGGGTGGTTTGATAGGTGGTCACCCTAAAGGCACGCGCGGGAGTTCTGGAGGCACCCTGCGAGGCCCCAGCGCGCCCCTGCCGCTGGAGAGAGAGAGCTCTCGGAGTGCGCACGGCGGGGCCGAAACACGCGCCCGGAGTCGAGCAGCCTAGAGAGGTCCGACGCTCTTTTCGAGCGGGCGGTCTTTGGCCGTTTGCCCGTCCTCCCCTCGCCGGGCCTCGGGAGCGCCAAACAGAGAACAGCTCCGGACGAAAAAAAAGACCGGCCCCAGGGCCCGAGGGCTCGTTTCGATTCATCCGATCCGATGCGCTGCGATTTCGATGGCCTCCTATTCTGATTCGAGTTTGATTCCGGTTTCCGAGTTTGGCTCCGAGTTCAGAATGAAGACCTACTAGGTACTAGGCTGCCGATTTCCGCCGAGTCGACTTTTCCCGACTTGGCTGCCGTTTTCCGCCGATCCGATTCACTTCGATGGGCGATCCGACTTGTCGATTCGACTCTGGGCTCTCCTGCCAGGGAAGTGGTCCGGACCTCCGCAGCCCGAGCACCGAAAAAAGTGGAGCAGTCCGATGTCTGCCGAGGGGGCGGCGGCGGCAGTGGCAGAGCGGACACACGGCCAGGGTCCAGCAGGGCTCGGGTTGACCCAAAAGGGGGTCCAGCGACAAGGGGGGTGGTGCAAACGATTTGGTGCAACAGATTTGTGGGGTTGTAACACATTTGGGGCGTGCAATAAATTTCGGGTTGCAAACGTATTGCTGAATTTTCGCGTGCAATGCATTACTTGCAATACAATGCAAGACAGTTCTCCAGCGCAGTGCATTTGCAATACACTTGCCCCAAATCTGTTGCACCACCCTCTTTCAGCTGGACCCCCTTTTGGGTCACTCAAAAGGGCATGACACTGAGATCCTGGCGTTCCGTTTTTTTCGAGCGGTACGTTTTCGCCGGGTTTTGACCGCATGACCCTGAGATTCTGGCGTTTCGATTTTTTCGAGCGGTGCGTTTTCGCCGGGTTTTGACCGCCTGACCCTGAGATCCTGGCGTTCCGATTTCGTCGGGCCGTGCGTTTCCGTCAGGTTTTGACCGCCTGACCCTCCCAGACATGATCGCGTCGTAACAAGCATCATGACGGCCGGTGTTTCGCCATTTCGGCTGGGGGGGCCTCGCCAGGCCTCGGGGCCGTCAGAAAACGACTCGGGGTGAAAAAAACCTGCCCCGGGGAGAGGGTCTGAACTTCTGGGGACGCCGTCCTGAAAAAATCAGGGCGTCGCATGTCTGGGCTGAGATCCTGGCGTTCCGATTCTGTCGGGCTTTCGTCCGGCTCCGGACCCCGAGGTCCTCGCAGACCGATCCAGCGCGAAGAGCGGCACAGAAGGATGCGGTCCAGGGCCTCCAGGGTTACGTCGGGCGTGTCCCTTTATAGGAGGAATATACAGAAATAGTAAAACGATTGTCTGGGGACGATATTTTTTGTTGACTGCTGATTATGCTTTGCCTATTTATATTTTGTCCTCCCAAATCCGCCTGTAGGAGGACGCGCCCGACCTAAGTCTAGGACTCCAGTCGTGATTTTCACGATGATTCAATTTTTTGTCGCTCCGTCGGATCTCAGGGTCTGCGGGTCCCTGCTGCAGCTTGGCGGTTCGAAGAACACCAAATTGCATAAACATCGCCGGTTCTGGCCCACCACGCCTCGGCGCGACACTTTGCGATCCCCGATCGTCAGCTTGCCGAGTTTTTCCAAGCCTCCCGCCCCGCGGAGCGGAGCGACATGCCATCCCCTCGCAGGGCGTGGTAAGCGTGTCGCCGGGGCCGCCGCCGCGACACGTTGGCCAACAGTTCCTGACCGCAGCTGGTGTTGCTTGGGCTGAGACTGTTGGGAAGGCTGGCGAAAGCTTGTGCATGCCGTTGCCAGGGCCCCGAAACCAGGAGGGGCAGATTGCAAGCCAGGGCTCAGGAAGAGTCAGAGCCGGAGAACCCGAGGGCTGGAGAGAGAGATCGAACCCGCGGCTGCAGCTCTTGGCGGCTACAAGTCGTGTGATCACGCCGGGGTGAGGTCTGTCATCGGCGCCGTTTGTCAAGCAGTGGCGAAGCGTCCTGGCTCGCCTATATGCCCACCAAAGATTGTCCTAAGACCCTTTTGTCGTCTGCACGAAATGCTCTTAGAGCATTTTCTGGCTGAGCCTGTCCTGTTTTGATTCACACTTCGGGCTTCTGTTCTAAGCACATTGTTTCTATGTTTCAGACATGTGTGGGTTCTAAGAACATCTCGTGGTAGGCCTATAGAAATGCCGGGACGGTCGGTCCCTGCTCAAGTTTGGGACCGGGGCGGCACGACGCTGCCCTCGTCGGGCTTCCTCGGGGCGCGGCGGAGAGCGCTCTGCCGAGGTCCTCGCCCGCCCCCCAGGGCCACAGGGCCCCCTCGGAGTCGCCGAAGTTCTCTTCGGGTGCGCGGGTGCCCTGTCTGGGAGGCCCCAGAAAGCCTTCCCGGAACCGGCGCCGCTGGAGTTTTTTTTTTTGACTCCAGACAGCTTATCCGTTAGGGCTTCGCCCCGATGCCGCCGGCCCCCCTCTCTCAGATCGGGACTCGCCAGAGCTGCGTCGGGATGCATGGACGCTGACGTGAAGAAATGTCCGGACTCCACGCGAGGGCCGATATCAATTGAACGAGGGTTTATGGCTGCGGTGGCGCGAATTTCAAGTCATTTGCGATGGTTTATGGTTTCGGGGACGCGAATATTGCGTAATCTGCGATGGTTTGTGGCCTCGGGGACGCAAATATTGAGTGATTTACCGAAGTTCATGGCCTCGGGGGGCGCAACGATTCTGTCATGTACGAAGGTTTATGGCCTCGGGGACGCCGCGAATCTGGTGAAATTTGCAAGGTCTCGTGGCCTCGGGGACGCAAGCATGGTGTAGTTGAGAAAGGTTTATGGTCCTGGGGACGCGAGTATTGACTAATTTTCGAAGGTTTATGATTTCGGGGGCACGAATATCTTGTAATTTACATGTGCTCATGGTTTCGGGGGCGCGGCTATGATGTAATTTACTAGGGTTTACGGCTTCGGGGGCGCGATTCCTATATAATTTACTAGAGATTATGCTTTCAGGGGCGCGAAAATTGTAGAATTTACGCAGGTTTATTGTTTTCGGGGACGCGAATATGGCGTAATTGGTCTAGGGATTATGGCCTCGGGACGCGAATATCATGTATTCTTACTTTTCCCACGCCCCTCCAGGAATTCAGACAACGCGATTTGGGCGTGGTAAAAAATGCTGGTTTGGGGCCCCCCGCCACAATTAACAGTAAGGAAGCAGAAAGCATGACTGTAACAGTGGAAACGGGAAACTGCAACTGAGACAGGGAGCTGCAATCCTCATCCTCGCAGCCCTGTGGTCCCGCAAGGGGACCGGCGGACTTGCATGGACGGGGGGGGGGCTTGAACCTGAAGTAAGCCGCAAGCGACTTGCACGTGCGGACGCCACGCAAGTCGAAAGGCACTTGCACGCCAGTGTTCGAAGAGGGGCGACAGGGGGGGGGGAGGCGAACGCCACGTGCAAGTAAATTCGCCCGAATCTAAAATAAAAAAAAGGAGCACGGGCCCCTGCCCGCGCGGCGGCCGCCTCAGCTCGAGCGGCCCCCCCCCCCCCCTCCCGGCAGGCGACGGCGCCTTCTGCTCCGGGGCCCTGCGCGAGCTCCGGCCCTGCAACCCGGGGGAGGACGAGGCTCCCCCGCGGCAGGGCTCCGCCAGGGGGAGCGTCAGGGGGAGGGGCTGGGCTTGATGGGCCTGTTTTCCTCCACCACCACCACCATAAGTTGGAGGGGGAGGGGGTCCTCCTCCTCCTCCTCCTCCTCCTCCTCCACCTCCTCCTCCTCCTCCTGCTCCTCTTCGTCCTCCTCCTCGTCCTCCACCTCCTTCCCTCCTCCCACTTCTGGTGGTGGTGGTGGTGGAAGACAGGCCCATCACCGGGCTTTCAACATCCCGAGGTTTTCCGAGTCTCTCGTCCCGCGGAGCGGAGCGATGTGTCTCCTAACCTGCCGCCGGGGCCGCCGCTACGACACGCTACATGCAAGAGTTCCTGGCAGGCCTCCCAGATGGGTTCCGAGCAGATGGGGCCGGAGGATCGCCCCGCATCACCGCTGCATCGGCGATGTGGCTCGACGTGGAGCCCGATTATTTTCTCCACGCCGACGTCGCCGCGAGGGAGAGTGGGTGCAGCGTTCGGGGGAGAGTGAGGGAGAGTGGGTGCAGCGTTCGGGGGAGGGGCAGGCTCGGCGGGGGTGCACGCAGACGTGAGGGTCAGGAGGTCTGAGGTCAGAATTTGGAGGTTTTCTTCGGGCGTTTCGATAGTGTCCCCCCCGCCTCCCCTGCCTCCTCCCCCCCGCGAGGCCGCCCTCGTCGTCTTTCCGTTTTCTTTCCACGCCAGACAGCTCGCCTTTCGCTTGCCCCGATTGGCCACACGCAGGAGCGGATTGCCCTTGCCTTGCCCCACATCTTCGCGAACGTATCGCGCCAGACCTGCGTTTCCGTCCTACGTGTTGAGTTCCGTGTGAAAACGCTACGGGTTGCGTGTTGCGTATCGGACCGGAGGCAGCCAAGTGCCCCTTGCATGTTGGTGGTTCGGGCACTCTTCCCAAGACGCCCGAGGCGCAGCGGATATGGATGACAATATGGCATGGCCCCGAGAGGCTCGGCTTTGGTCCAAGCCCTCTGCGCCACGGCGGTGTGGCGTCCCTTCCCCGAGCAAAAACTAAGACGCAACGGACAGGGGTACAAATCTTGCCTGCTAACTTCAAGGGAGGAAGCACCATCCCGACCCCGACCATCGGCCTTTACTAAACGGCCCTGGGCGACTACGAAACAGCCCTGCTCGCTTCGAACCCTTCCCTGGGCCCTGGGTGCGTTTAGTGACCGTTTTTTGACTCATTGTTCTGCCGATCGGCGCGGGCCCTCGCACCCCCCCCTCCCCCCCCCCGTGGAGTAGATCTTGGCCGTTTTTGGCGCCTGCTTCGAGCGGGTGGAGCCTCTCCCTCAGAGGCAGCACTGCTGAAAGCAGTCGCACTCAGCAGAGGTCCGGAGCCAGAGACCCCCCCCCCTCCCCCCCCTTGCCGCCCAGTGCCGAAACGCGGAAGACAAAAACGCTCTCCTCCTTTCCAGGGCCCCGGGTGCGTTTGCTGAACGGCTTCGCTCGTCGGTGTGCTTCCTCTGGAGGTTGGCTCTCCTGCTCCCTTAAAGAAAGCTGGTACGGCACGTTGCCCTCCCGTGCCTGCGCAGCCCGCGGCACCAGGGCAGGCGCAGCGGGGCCCGCAGTGTCAGGTCCGGGCTCACGCGGCGGGGGTCAGTGCCAAGCAGTGGCGAAGCGTCCCAGCTCGCCTATAACAGTCGAGCCGGACTAGTAGGTCGACCCTGCCAGATCAAGGGTACCCTTGTGTCCTCTCTCGTGTCCTGCCGAATCAAGTCCGACTGTAGGCCCACCGAAACATGTTCTAAGAACCTTTTGTGGTCGGCGCGACATGTTCTTAGAACATTTCAGGATGGGGCTGCTTGTTTTGACTCATCGGGCTGATGTTCTAAGAACATTGCTTTGTTTTCTTAGAGCGTTTTGGGGTTCCAAGAAGATTTCGTGGTAGGCCTAGAGGAATGCCGAGACGGTCGGTCCCTGCTCAACAATGCAAGCAGGGTCAGCCAGAGCTCCAGATCTTGCAGGATCTTGCAGAGCCAGGGCTGCACTTACCCGAGCTTGGGTGCAGGCTCCTGCATGATCCTGCAGGATGTTGTCGGATCCTGCAGGGCCCGGCTGACCCGGGTCTGGATTGACCCAGGGGGCCTAGGCTTCTTCTATACACACATGTATACTTACATACTGTACAATTCATATATATATATATATATATGTGTGTGTGTGTGTGTAGATTCTATATGTGTGTGTGCGTGTGTGTGCGTGTGTGTGTGTGTGTGTGTGTGTTTAAAATATAAATGAACATACACATGACGTCGGGGGGGGTGGGAACCAGTGTCGGCGCAGCGGGGCCCGCAGTACCAGAGCCTGTGGCGGCCCTCGGGGTACGCCGCTCACCCAGCACAGGCCGGGCGTCAGGCCGCGAGCAGCCAGGCGACGAGGTCCGCGTCTCGTCCCCTGCCCTGGCGCCCTTTTTTGGCCCCGTGCTTCGCGGCTTCTGCTGTCGCTCGTCTGCACATCCCAGAGGTCCAGCGTGTGGAAGGAAGCAAGACGGAGGTGTTTCGCAAAGTTCGGCCCCCAGGGGGCCCTCGCCGGGCCTCGGGACCGTCAGCACAACGAGTCAAGAGGAAAAACCCGTCCTGGGGGACAGGTCGAGACTTCTGGGCCCCCGTGATAAAACAAGCATCAGGACGGATCTCAGGGGTTCTTTTGCGCGCTCCTCCCATGGGCGCCTCCGTCTTGATTGGTGCACTGCGGTGTCCTTGGCACTCCCGACCCTGTCCCCATGGCTGGTGCTCCAGCCCGCGCCGTTTTTCAACGGGTCGGGGGCCCTGTCTGGCGCGCTCCTCTTCGAGCTGCTTTTCTTGGTTTGCCTGCAGTTTCTCCAGAGCCTCCTTCTGAGCTGTCTTAGCCTTGTCAGCAGCCGATTTCTGCTTGGCTTTGTCGGCCTCCTCGCTCCCCTTTGCGGCCTTTCGCGCGGCTCCAAGAGCCCGAAACGAACGACTTTTTTATCCACGACACGCGAGCATGGCCTGGGCCTCCCTCCCCAGACATCCCGCTGCTCCAAGTCTTCCGAGAGGCGCGGGCCCCCGAGGTCCGGACTACTTTCCTACAGGGCAGGTGCTTCGTCCTGAGTCGTTCTTCAACGCTCCCAAGGCCTGGCGAAGGCCACTGAAGGCCAAAAGCTGGAGCTTTTTTTTTTCTTTGCTTCGGGGAAGTTGACTTGCATGGACCGGGGGGGGCCTGAACTGCCTGAATCTGAAGCGAGCAAGCCGCAAACGACTTGCACGTGCGGAAGCCACGCAAGCCGACGAGAGGCATTCGCACGCTAGTTTTCTTGAAGAGGGGCGAGAGGGGAGGGAGTGGGGAGGCGAACGCCATGCAAGTAAACTTGTCTGAGTTCTTGCACCGAAAACAACAGGCTCAACCGGCCAAACAACGCCCGCTCTAATTCTTTTCCGGTGTCGGATCTCCAGGTTCCCCCCCGCCTGCGCTCTCCAGGGCCCCCCCCCCGTGGCTGCGCCGCCGCCGCTGGCGGCCGAGCTTGCGCGCGACCGCGGGGCGCGATGCGAGGTGGTCTCCGAGGGCTGCGTGGTGGTGCCGCCCACAGACTGCAAGCTCGGCCCCTGGCAGGAGCTTCCCCTCCTCCCCCTCCTTCTCCTCCTCCTCCTCCTCCTTCTCCTCCTCATCCTCCTTCTCCTCCTCCTTCTCCTCCTCCCTTTCGTCCTCCTCCTCCTCCTCCTCCTCCTCCTCCAACTCCTCCTCCTCCTCCTCCTCCTCCTCCTCCTCCTCCTCCTCCTCCTCCTCCTCCCCTTCCTCCTCCTTTATTCTCCTCCTCTTCCTCCTCCTCCTCCTCCTCCTCCTCCTCCTCCTCGTCGGGGCGCATGGGAGCAAGGGTCTCAGATTCCAGATCCAGGGAGCTTTTCGTAGTCTTGGCATTGTTGATTGGCCATTTTGGCTTGTTCCTTGTTTAGGCCAAATTCGCACCATTTTGCTCGATGTCCACGACGGTCTGGCTATGTAAGGGCCTTCGGCCCATCCCGCCACGTATAGAGCCCATTGGATGTTCGTTGGGCTCTGGTGGGAGGCCTCTCGGAGGCCTCTTGGAGGCAGATGTGAGGCCTCTTGGGGGCCATTTGGGGCCTCTTGGGGTGTCTTTGAGCCTATTGGGGCCTCTCGGGGGCTTGCGGATCTTAAATTCCAACGCAAGGAAGACCTTCTGCAGCACTAGCATTGTTGCTTGGCTGTTTTGGCCAGGATCTCGTTCATGCCTAGTTCGCGCCATTTGGTGAGCGTTTTTCGTTGTTCCTCCCCGGGGTAACGCTCGATACCCAAGCCCCCCTCCCCTTTCGGACATTGCAACGCCAACGATCGTACTGGGGGGGGGCAGTGGCCCTACATGCTGGGGGGCACTGGGCTGGCGGCGCGGACGCACCCTAGCGGGTGCGCGCCGCGTCCGCCGCCGTTACCGTTACTTTTATGCCCGACCCTCCTCTGGGCAACGACCGTTGCCCGAGGAAGCAAGGAGACGGTCACTTGACTCGGTGTCCGCGACGGTCTGGCTAATGTGCAGTCGGGGCCCTGAAGAAGGAACCCCTTTACGTTGGGGAGGGGCTCGGCGTTCCTTGATTGTTCTGCAGTTTGCCTTTTGTTTTCCTGAGGTGCTCGATGGGAAGTCGAAGTCTAACTTCTGGAGAAGGGGCCCCGTTCCTTATTTTGGGTTCCTTAGGTCAACGCCCCGACGGTAAGTGCTCATGCGTAGGCTCAGGGGGGGACGCGCCCAGACACGAAGGCCACGAAGGTCGAGATTCGAGTCTGGAGGTGTCTGGGCCTCTTCGTCGGATCGTGGCGATGTTCCAGCCTCGGGCTGCGTCCCAGCTGCCGCGCCTCGCCGAGGGTGCCGTCGGGGGGGGGGCGGGAGCGTGCCGGGGCGGCCACGGGGGAGGTCCGTGAGGAACCAAAAAAACCTCCAGTTGCCCGACACGCCAGCCTGGTCTAGACCTTTCACGTGTTCGAAGAGGTGATCGTTTCGCCGATGGGCGCGGACCCTCGCCCCCCCCTCCCTCCCCCCCCCGTGGGGCAGATCTTGGCTGCTTTTGGCGCCCGTTTCGAGCAGGTGGCAGTCGCATTGAGCAGAGACCTGGAGCCAGAGCCCCCCCCCCCCCCACCCCCCCCCACCATTCCGCCCAGTGTCGAAATGCCGCACAAGAAAACGCTGACGAGGGAAACAGGAAGAGCCCCCAAGACCACCAGAACCAGACCTCAGACGATATGACGATGCCAACCCTGGCGTGCTCCCCGAGGTCGTCCCCTCCACAGAAGTGCCCACCGGGCCACCCGGCACGGATCCGCGGCGGAAGACTGGCCCGGAAGAGGAGGTCGGGAGCGTCGAGCGCGCAGCGGGAGAGTCGTAGCGTCGGGTGTCCGGGCCCACACCGGTGGGCGCCAGTGCTAAAACGACGCGAAGATCGGGACAAAATCGGATCGGGATATCTCGAAATCTCTGATAATCGGCGGGTTTGGAGGATGTATTGGGCGCCGCGGCCGCTCCAGAGCGTTCCAGAACGCTCTGAGAGCGCTCCGGAACGCTCTGGAGTGATTTATATCCCGATCCTAGCCCTGTTTTAAGTGCGAGAGCGCCGGGACTCGGAACTTTGCCGATGCTTTGTGACGAGCGCGTCCTGGATCTTGGCGGTCCAGCGTGCGTGGTTTGCAGCGGGAGCTCGCGTCAGAGTTTCAAGCGGAGGATCGAAATTTCCATGGTGGCCCCGTCAGGCCCACCCGAGTCCCCCTGCTCCCCGAGCAGGGGAGGAAAGGGCCTATAGAGGTCCGAGGGTCCGAAACAATTGGAGCCTCGGACCGGGGGGCCCTCGCCGGGCATCGGGAGCGTCGAAGACTCGGGACGAAAAACCAGCCCACGGGGAGGCCGCATTGAACAAGTTTGGGCAGTCGGATGCCTGGGTGTTCAAAAATCAAGGGGGAAAAACCATCCAGACCGGACAATTGGCGTTTACTAAACGGCCTTGGGCGTTTACTAAACAGCTCTGCCCTGTTTGATTCCTTCTTTGGGTGTGTTTACTAAACGGCTTCGCGTGTCCGGGGGTTTACTATCGGGGTGGATTTTCTGCTCTCTAAAAAGCTTACCAGAATCTAAAAAGGTTGGGAGTGGAATCAATCGCCTGCGCGCTGCGGGCGTCCTCGTCGTCGTCGAGGACGCCGTCGTCGTCGTCGTCGTCGGCCTCGTTGGCCTCGTCGTCCTCGTCCTCGTCCTGCTCCGCGTCCTCGTCGCCCGTCGTCGTCGTCGTCGTCGTCGTCGTCAACGTCGTCGTCGTCGTCGTCGTCGCCCGTCGTCGTCGTCGTCGTCGTCGTCGAGGCTGCCGTCGTCGTCCTCGTCGTTGTCCTCGTCCTCGTCCTCGTCGCCGTCGTTGTCCTCGTCCTCGTCGTCCTCGTCCTCGTCCTCGTCGTCGTCGTCGGCGCGCAGCGGCCGTGGGCTCGCCGCGGGCCGCCGCTGCGGAGGGGCCGCCGGCGGGGATGGCCGTCGCCCTGCCGCCCGGCCTGGGCCCGGGCGGCGCCGGCTGCGGGGGGCACCAGTGCGCGGCGGGCGCGCTGGCGATGGGCAGAGGTGCGTCGTCTCACGACGACGACGACGACCACGACGACGACGACGACCACGACGACGACGACGACGACGACCACGACGACGACGACGACGACGACGACGACCACGCACGACGACCGCGACGACGGCGACCACGACCACGACCACGACCACGACGACGACGACGACCACGACGACGACGACGAGGGCGACGACGACCACGACGACCACGACGACGGCGACCACGACCACGGACGGCGACCAGTCCCCAGGAAGGTGTCCAGACTCCTGGGGGTTGACGCTGTTAAAAAATCATGTCGTTGGAGATCTGAGCTGTCTCACCACCCACCAAAACCACCCCAACCCAACCAGAAAGCCCCAATGTTCCCTCCATTTCCATTGGGGGGGCGTCAGATAACACAAAAAACACGTATGGAACCCGTGCCCCCCCAACTCGAAATCTTGGTCGTCGGGTTGGGTTGTGGTGGCTTGGTAGGTAGTCATCGTCGTCGTCGTCCTCGTCGTCGGTCGTCGAGGCTGCCGTCGTCGTCGTCGTCGTCGGTCGTCGTCGGTCGTCGGTCGGCTGTGCGTCGTCGTCGTCGGTCGTCGCCGTCGGTGCCGCCGTCGTCGTCGTCGTCGTCTTCGTCGTCGTCGTCGTCCTCCTCCTCCTCGTCGTTTTTCGCCGTCGGTCGTCGTCGTCGCCGTCCGTCATCCGTCGTCGCTTGGAGATGGAAGAGGTTACGCTACCCTTGCCTCGTTTTCGCCTCTTTGGGCTTCCTGGGAGGCCCTCATCACCATCGCTGGATTAGCCTCGAACCTCCACTCAGAGCGCACTTCTGGGAGAAGTCCGGGGAGTAGAGGTATCGGTCTTGCGCCGAACCGTGGGGGGCGCTGGCGATGGGCAATGGTCTCTGTATGACTGGCATGGATATGGAAAGAGTGGGCACGAAGACCGACTGGAGGTTTGTGTCCATTTGGAACTGGGTTCGCTGTCGGTGTCGCTGCGGACGTGCTCCGCTTGAGACATGAGACCACGTATAGCCAACAGCGGCCGCGGTCGGTTTTGGACAACTCAAGCGGTGGCGAAGCGTCCTGGCTTGCCTATAGGCCCACAATAAGAATGTTGTATTTACCTGTTGTGGTTGGCACGACATGTTCCTATACCATATCTGCGTTGTATTGTCTTGGATTCATTATCACATCGACGTTTTCTTCTAGGACTTGTGTTTGGTTCTTGGAACACGCTTGGGTTTAGGAACATGCCTTGGTAGGATTTTAAGGATGTCGGGACGGTCGGTCCCTGCTCAAACAACATTTGAGCGACGCAAGAAAGGGGGGTCGTCTGCGCCGACATTGGCGCGTAAGCTGTCCGCGTAAGCTCGCGCGTAAGCGCCCTCGCTTCCAGCGTAGCGTGCCGCGCTGGCGGCCCGCGTAAGCCACCGCGTAAGGTCGCCGCGCCATCTCGAGACCCGTTTTTGATCGTCGCTCATCCCGTGGGATCCGATGTCGCGATTTTGTCAATACGGGGTCCCCGGAAGTCTCGACCCATTCCCCAGGACCGGTGTTTCATCCTGAGTTGTTGTTGACGGTCCCGAGGCCCAGCGAGGGCCCCTGGGGCCGATCTTTATGCGAAGAGCCTCCGTGCTGATGATTTTTGCTCGGCACTGGGCCCCTTTCTTCCTTTGCCCATTCTTCTAGGCCTCCCAGATGGGGTCGGAGCAGATGGAGGTCGGAGGATCGCGCCGCATCGCCGATGCATCGGCGATGCCTCAGCGATGCGGCTCGACGTGGGGCCCAACTCTCTCCATGCCGACGTCGCCAGCGCATGGCCGATGCATCGCCGATGCGTCGGCGGTGCGGCGAGAGCCTCCGACCCCAGCTACTCGGACCCCATCTGGGAGGCCTCCAACTCTTCCGGGCGCCCAAGTGGTCGGCCCCGGGAGTCGGGCGTGACCCCCACACGCGAGTCTGGGACCCCTTCCCGGGGACCGGTTTTCATCCCGAGTCGATTTCCCGACGGTCCCGAAAAAAAAAAACACCTCACGATTCTTTGTTCTTGCTCGCGACGCGAGGGGGTCTGGGTTGGGCACTTGGCATCGCACCCCCCTTTTTCCTGCACCCGCTCCTCGTGGGGCGCCCGAGAGGTCGGCCCGGCGCAGAGCCGCTGGGCGCGCGAGGGGGCCCGCCGCCCCCAGAGGAGGCGTGCCCGGGCCGCTCGGCCGGCGCCGTCGCGGCCCTCGCGGGGACGCTGGCCGCAGGCGGCGCCCCGCTGGCGGCCGCCGCCTCGAGGGCCGGGCCGTCGTCGCTCCGCCACGCGGCGGCGAGCGAAGGGGGCGAAGTCCCAGACCCCCTCGCGTCGCGAGAGAGAATCGCGACGTCGATGACCGATTTCTGACCACATCCACCTCTGGATCCTCGATTCTATGATAGGCCCTCGGGGGTGGAGGTGGGCAGTTTTTCCTTCCCCTGGGGCGGGGAAACTGCCCACCTCCACCTCTGGAAACCGCTTTTTGCAAGGCACCTCGGGAAGTGGGAGTGGTCAGAAATCGGTCTCCTACGACGGGAGGCTTTTCGGTACAGTCGGCCCGGATTAGCAGGTCGGCCCTGCCGGGTCAAGGATACCCTTGTGTCCTGTGCCTCGCAGCCCGTGCTTCCTGCATTCCTGTGGCAGTGTGGCCCTCGGAAGGGTCTTCCTCTCGCGTGTCCTCTCCAATCAAGGCCGATGGGGTATAGCAGGGCCCCAGGTAAGGGGGCCCGGTTAGTGGTAGGGCCCCGGAGCCCCTAAGTCGGCCAGAATCCCTGTGAACCAGGTCTGCCGTAACCGATGTTCTTTTTTGGGTGACGGCAGTTCTGGTCAGTGGAACGGGGCGGGGTTGGCGTCCCCTAGTACACATCACTAAACCAGGTCCCACCAAACCCAGTTAAGCCAACGCCCGAGAGGGGAGGAAGTCCCAGAACCCCCTCGCGTCGCGAGGGAATCGCGACGGGAGGCTTTTCGGTATATTCTCGGCCAGACCCTCGCCGGGCGATGCGATCCGATGCGGACGCCGTGTCGAGGCAGGCCCATCCGACGAAGGCTCCGATTCGACCCGACTTCCCCGATTCCCGGACGCCCTCGCGCCGCGAGAAAATCGCCACGGGGGGCGTGTCGATATCTTCGGCCTCCAGGGGCCTTTTTGGGGCCTCGGGGCCGTCCAAAAACGGCCCGGTCCCGGGGGAAGGGGTCCGGACTCCTGGGGGTCACGTCATGGAAGAATCACGACGTCGGGGGTCTCTGGGGTGAGCAGGGGCGGGCCTTCTCCGAGGGCTCGGAAGTGCACCGGGCCTGCCGAGAAGTGGCCGGAGCCTGCCCCGAAGGCCGAAGGCGCAGAGCATTGGCCAGAAGGCGCGAGGGTTTCTGAGACGTCCCGCCGCCTGCTGAGGAGGCCCCCTCCTTCTCACTCCCCCCCCTCGCTCGCAGCCGAGCCACTGCTGTCGATTTTGCCGTCGCCGTCGCGTTGGTCGTCGTGTGCGTCGATGCGCGTTCGTCGATGCGGTGTTCGCTGTAGTCGTCGCCGTCGTCTTCGTCGGCGGCGGCGGCGGCCGCGTCGGCGGCGGCGTCGTCGTCGTCGGCGTCGTCGTCGTCCAGGGGAAGGGGATCAGGCGGAAGGAAGGGCAGGCGATGAAGATCTTACAGCCGTTTCCCCGAACAGCGCAGTCAACCTGCGTAGTAAGAATGGGCAACCTTCCCAAGGGTACCCTTGCATCCATGCCTCCTCGGTTCATCCTTGGCCACTTTCGTTGGCCGCGCCCCGCTCGAGAAGCTTCGACATGGGCGTCCAAGGCCCCTGCATCCCTGCCGCGCATCCTTGATATTAGTTGTGGGCCCACTGTGTTCGCACTCGGGCGTGTTGCATGTTTCCTCGAGTCACTGGATGGGTGTGTCGGGGTACGGTACACCCGCTGGTGCCGCCTGTGCGACTCGTGGGCGCCCCCCCCGCGCTCGGGGGATCTGTCCGGGGCTCGGCTGGTGCCCGCCCGCCGTGGGCTTCCCGCGGGCGACTCGTGGACGCCCCGATCGACGAACCCAACAACACGCACCCATCTCCACAGGGGGGTCGGAGAGGGCTATGGTTGCGTGTTGTCGGATGGGGGTCCCCGCTCGAACGGGAGAGTTGCCCAGGGTCCGACAACCCGCACCCATACCCATAGCCAGGCCTCCTCCCAACGACCCCCCTATGGGTATGGGTGTGTGTGTTGTTCGTTCGTCACCGATGGCGTGGGTGGTCTGTCGGTGTGTCGGCGCCGTGCCCACCCGCGTGTGGCGCCTCGGGGGCGCCCCGCGCGCTTTTGGGGTGGAGGAGCTGTGCCGAGGTTTTTTCGCCAGCCGGTGCCCCACCGTGGGCGCCTCACGGCCGCCCCGCGCTTGGGGTGCGTGTGTGTGCGTGTGTGTGTGTGCGGGTGTGTGTGTGTGTGTGTTTGTGTCCGCCGCCGCCGGCAGCTCCCGAGTGGCCCGGCCTCCTCGCCCCCCGTCGCGCCGAGGCTCCTCCTCCTCCTCCTCCTCCTCCCCTGCACAGTGGCCCTCACTTGCATACGGCGTGTCCCCCTGTTGCCATCCCGCCGGAGCAGTCGACCTCTGCCCAGCCGCCGACGCAAAAAGTGTGTGTGCGTGTGCGTGTGTGTGGTTGTGTGTGTGTGTGTGCCGCGCGCGGCCGCCCTCGTCTTCGTGTCTCTCTCTCTCTCTCTCTCTCTTTTTTTTTTCTCTCTCTCTCTCTCTCTCTCTTGCACGCCAGACAATTTGCCCGTCGGTTGCCCCGATTCGCCCCACGCTGATGCGGACCGCCTCTGCCTCGCCGCCGACAGGAAAAGTGTGTCTGTGTGTGCCAAGGGTTCGCCTGGTGTCCCCCGTGGGCGTCCCCTTACAGGAGGAAGATTCAAAAATAGTCAAAAATTGTCAGAGGACGAGTTTTCGATTATTTGCAACCATCCTTGAGTATTTTTTGACCATTGGTCCAAAATCCGCCTGTAGGGGGGCATGCCCGACCTAATACTATGCGTGTGCTTCCGTTGATCTCAAACTATACGTGTTCGGTAACCCCTTTGCACACAGCAAATACGCAGAGTCCACACGCGCGCACCTGCCGAAATCATACCAACCACACTCGTGTGGCAGGCATGCCGGCGTGCAGGAACGTGTTTGAAAACAGACAAAGTCTAGCAGGTCTTCTGCCCGCGCGCATTTGCCGACACCGATGGAACACCGAGTGATGTCAGCATGGGCTGCCTGTGCCCTCGTGTCTCCTGCCTCCTGCCTTCTACCTCCTCCTCCTCCTCCTCTTCTTCCCTCTCCTCCTCCTCCTCCTCCTGCTCCTGCTCCTGCTCCTTCTCCTCCTCCTCCGCCTCTTCTTCCCTCTCCTCCTTCTCCTCCTCCTCGTCCAAATCCTCCTCCTCCTCTTCCGCACATCTTCATCTCACCACGTGGTGCATCTGCGTTGATCTGGCATGGGCCCAGTGTACGAATCCGTATCAGATAATACTATACCATGCGGGCCACAAGCACGCGTCGCCACGCGCACATGTCGACATCTGTTTCATACCAATGGTTTTCGAAGCACTTCAATATACAGCTCTTCGACCGTATTTTCACACCACGTATTATCGAACACCAGTCTGCCAGTCTTCCGGCATTTCCGCGCGCGAACTTCTTCAACATCACCCTCACAAGCGCCACCGCAACACCGCTTTTATCGTTATCTTCGATCGCCGCCATTGCTGCCATCATCAGTCAATCACCTTGATCACCGACACATGGACGTTGGCATCGTAATCTCTGTCACTCGAATCGGCGCCGTCAATCGCCTTGCCGCCGTCGTCATCGCCATCATCGCCACCACCATCGCCACTATCATCATCGCTGCCATCGTTGTCACAATGTCATCATGATACCATGCCCGCCCGAGTCAGCGACTCGCAGTGACGTTTCCGCGATGCCAGCGCGGTCTTCGAGACGCGTCGGGAAGATCCCACCGTTAAGTGCCATCGCGGCCGCGTTGCGCGCGAGTTTGCGCGTTCTAGCGCAGCCGCGGAGATGTGCCAGCCATTGCCAAGTGGCCACCGCCGTAGAGGCCGCAAGGGTTGTGCAAAACAAGCTGCCTGTGTCAGGATGTGATTTCGCGAGCAGTGAAGTTAACGCCTTCAAATTTTGCACGGTGATTGCACCACGCCGGTTGCACAACATAGTGCACCACACAGTTGGTACCGCAGAATTTGCACCTCATAGTTTGCACCACATAGCTTGAACCACATCGCTTGCTCCGCAGAGCTTGCTCGACATAGCACGCCCCGTATCGCTTGCGCCACGCAGCTTGCACCACATAAATATCTTGACCCACATAGCTTGCACCGCAGAGCTTGCACCACATAGCTTGCACCGCGCATAATTCATCACATAGCTCATGTACACATCAACAGTGCAATCCATTACTGCTTATTCTCTGGATGGTGCCCCTTAATCTGAGCTCGATTCAGTATCTATTACTGCCAAAATACTAGGCGGGATCGGCTGTTCGGGTCATCTTGACGTCGTCTTCGACGTCCCAGTCGGCCGTCATCTCCCCCGCCCTCGCCAACTCCTTCTCTCTCCTGTCCCATCCTCGCCCAGGCCCCTGTCGCCCCTCCTCGCCCCCCCTGTCATCCCCCTCCCCCCTTCGCCGGAGCCAGACTGACGCCAGCATACTACGCAGTTGATGAGATGTTGGGTCCGATGCGTTGCTTGTTTGTTTGTTCCCTACCTAGGCTCTGCCTAGAAGAGTTCTTACTCTATGTGCTAAAAGGGCCGGGCAGTGGAAATCGCCCCGGGCGGTTCCCCCGGTATCCGCCCCGCGGTTCCCCCAGTCCCTTGGGAGCTTTAGTTTTAGCTTTAGCTTTAGCTTTAGCTCAGCTTTAGCTTAGCTTTAGCTTAGCTTTAGCTTAGCTTTAACTTAGCTTTAGTTTAGCTATACCTTAGCTTTAGCATAGCTTTAGCTTGGCTTTAGCTTAGATTCTAGCTTAACTTCAGCTTAGCTTCAGCTTAGCTTCAGCTTAGCTTCAGCTTAGCTTTAGCTTAGCTTTAGCTTAGCTTTAGTAGTTTAGCTTTAGCTCAGCTTTAGCTTAGCCTTAGTTTAGCTTTAGCTTAGCTGTAGCTTAGCTTTAGCTTATATTTAGCTTAGCTTCAGCTTAGCTTTATTAGCTTTACTGTTACTACTAATGCTGCTTTCCTAGGGGCTCCAACTCCTATAATTTATGTGTGTGTCTGTGTGTGTTGCCAGGAACCCAGACCCCTGGCGTCATTATTCCCCAATCAGTGCTTGCACTGAAGGGGTCCTAGCAGAGGTTGGAGGATTTGGCGAAAGTTTCCCGCGGATTTTGGTCGCACGCTGGGTTCCTGGGTTCCCGGTTCCGGGTTCCCGGGTTCCCGGTTCCCAGGCCGATTTCGGTGGGCAGCGTGGTTCCCAGGTTCCCAGGTTCTTGGTCGACATTATCGATCGGTCTCGGCATCGATCTCATGTCCAACCTCTCTATCGATCTCACCATCGATCTCACAGTCGATCTCACAATCGACCTCACAAGCGATCTCACGAGAGATCGCACGAGCGATCTCGCGATCGATCTCTTTATCGATCTCATTGAATCGATGTCACCCTGGGTCTCACGATCCACCTTACAATCGTCCTCTATCGATTCCACTATCGATTGTATTATCGATCTCATAATTGATCTCAAAATCCATGTGATTCATTTTCAAAGTATTCATTGATTGGGGTGTTCTCAGGTGTATTTTTTTCGCTGCGTCGACCCCCAGAGGTCTGGACCCGTTCCTCGGGACTGGCTTCCCCCGACGCTCCCGAGGCCTCGTGCGGGCCCCCAGAATCCCAACACGGCGGAAAACCTCGCGCCACTATTTTTCCATGCCTCGATGGGGGCCTGGGACCTCGGCCCCGCGGCACCCCGCCCCGCCCAGCAGGCGCACGCCGGGGCCGCCGGCGGGGCCACCAGAGAGCCTCGCGGCCCCCGGCGCGCTGGCCAGCGCGCGCGGCGGCGGTGGCCGCGGAGACCGCCACCGCCGCCGACCCCGAGGAGGACGAGGACTCGGGCGGGGGGGCCTGCGGTCAGCTCCGAAAAGGGGCGGGCGGCCAGGAGGAGGAGGAGGAGGAGGAGGAGGAGGAGGACGAGGATGAGGAGGAGGAGGAGGAGGAGGAGGAGGAGGAGGAGGAGGGACGAGGAGGAGGAGGAGGAGGAGGAGGAGGAGGAGGAGGAGGAGGATGAGAGGAGGAGGAGCAGGAGGAGGGCGTGGGGGGGGCTGTGGTTAGCTCCGACGGCGTGCTCCAGGAGCGCGGGTGGCCCGGCAGGTGTGCTGCCGCGACGTGGTCAGACATGGGGGCCGGGGGGGGGGGGTCCCAGGGCAGAGTGGGGGAGCAGGGGGGGGGAGGGGGATGAGTTGGAGGATGAAAAGGAGTAGGAGGAGCATGAGGAGCATGAGGAGGAGGAGGAGGAGGAGGAGGAGGAGGAGGAGGAGAGGAGGAAGAGAAGTAGCAGGAGGAGGAGGAGCAGGAGGAGGAGGAGGAGGAGGAGGAGGAGGAGGAAGAGGCAGGGGCGGATCAGGCGGACGAAGAGGAGGAGGAGGAGGAAGAGGAAGAGGAGAAGGAGAATTCAGGAGGAGGAGGAGAAGAAGTATATGCAGAATGAGGATGCGGAGGATGCGGAGGAGGAGGAGGAGGAGGAGGAGGAGGGGAGGAGGAAAAGGAGGAGGAGGAGGAGGCGGCGGAGGAGGAGGAGGAGGAGAAAAAGTAGGTGCAGTTTGAGGAGGAGGAGAAGCAGGTGGAGGAGGCGGAGGAGGAGGAGAAGAAAATGGTGCAGGAGGGGGAAACGCAGAAGGGAAGGAGGAGGAGGGGGGGTACGAGCAGGAGTGGGATCAGGAGGGAGGGAGGCATTGAGGGAGGAGGCGCAGGGAGAGGAGGAGGACGAGGAGGAGGAGGAGGAGGAAGACGGAGGAGGATGAGGAGGAGGAGGAGGAGGAGGAGGAGGAGGAGGAGGAGCTGAGTTGCCACGGGTCGCGTCCGCTCCGCAGAGCGATGGCCGCCATGTTGTGTGCGCTTTCACCCTGCATGGCCTCTGGGCCATGACATGGTATCATGGCCCTGGCATTGGCATGCTGTCGGGGCAGGGGGCGGCATCCGTACAAGACCAGGGCTTTCGGAGGGCACCCGTCAGCCACTGAACGTGGCTGGCGAAACCAAGGAACGCGTGGCTGCATCTTTGCTCCTCAGGGCAGCTGTACTCCTCCGAACGCAACTAGCGGCGCGAGGAAGCAGAGCAGGTGTCTCCAGCAGCCGTGCCCCTCAGAGCGTGGCTGGCGGGTCAGCTGTACCCCGCAGTGCGTGACTGTCAGAGGGCAGCTGCGTCGGGCAGGGCGTTGCTGGCGGCGTGGGAGGGAACAGGAGGAGAAGGAGGACGGGGAGGAGGAGGCCGACCAGTGTAAACCCAAGAGTCATCAACGATGTTGGAATACACCCCCACTCCAAGCTCCCTCTTCATAGGTCCCCACAATGTTTCATTTTCATTGAGGGATCTGCCTCCTTGGAAGACAACCCTTTGAAGACCCAAAAGCATGCCAAACCATTGTTCTCGGGATTCCAACGCCACGGATCAACTTGACAGTTGCGTCTTGACGGTTCTGGATCGTGTCAGAACGCCATTCTTAGGATTTCAACACCGCGAGTCAATGTAACTGGTGCACCTGCAAAATCCAGGGTCCTGCCAAAACGCAATTTCTGGCACGTTGATCGTGGAAATCCGTGGGATTCTTGCAAATTACACGAACGAGTGTGCGCGGCGCTAAGGCGAGAGCCACATTTTGAAAAGGAACCGCCCTCAATCCGTGAAGATCTTGGCAAATGTTTAGAACAAATGTGCGCGGCGCTGTGGCGAGAGCCACATTTTGAACACGATTTATCCTCAACCCGCGAAGCCCATGGCAATTCAAAAAAACGAATGTGCTCGGCGCTAAGGCGAGAGCCACATTTTGAAAACCATCCGCCCTTCTCCTGTGGAACTGTTGCCAATTTCAAGATTCTGAGTCATAACTGGTGAGGAAGTCTGAGGCGAAACGCCCGGCCCGCCCTAAAAACTGGCCCCGGGGTGCGACAGGGAGAAGTTTTTGTTATAAGGGAAAGGCATGGAGGACGAGGAGGAGGAGCAGAAGGAGGAGGACTCAGGAGAAGGAGGAGGAGGCGGCGGAGGACGAGGAGGTGGACGAGGAGGAGGAGGAGGAGGAGAAGGAGGAGGAGGAGGAGGAGGAACCGGAGGAGGAGCAGGAGGAGGAGGAGGCCGAGGACGAGGACGAGGACGAGGAGGATGATGATGAGGAGGAGGAGGAGGAGGAGAAGGAGGAGGAGGAGCGGATCCCTACTCTCCTCCATGCCCTGGGAGGGCCGCCCGAAGGACGAGATGCAGGGCATGATGGACGAGCTGCGCAGTGAGCTGCGCGCCCTGCAGCCCGAGGAGGCCGACGGCCCGGAGGTGGCCACGGACGGGGCGGCGGACGCGATCACGGACGGCGCGGTTGAGCCCCCTTCGGCGGCCACTGGCGGCCTTCGGCGGCCACGAGGGGCCACCACGAGCGGCGGCGGTCGCCGCCGACGTCGTCGTCCTCGTCGTCGCCGGCTTCCGCGCGGGGGAGGCAGAGGAGAGGGCGGGAGGAGAGGGAGACGGAGGAGGGGGATGCGGGCTACAGATGCACCGGGTGTGCTTGGGATGAGTTCTGGTTCGTGGGGGGTTGTGGGCGCGTGTGTCCGGGGGGTGTCAGCGGCAGGAGTAGGCGGGGGAGGAGGACAAGAAAGATTGCGCTCCAGATATTTCCAGAGAAGGATCATGACTTTCCAGAGGAGGGGAACTGGGAGGATTAATGCAAGTCGTCGTGGTCCTCGCAGTTGTCCGTCTCTTTCCATCTCTTTCCCTCCTCTCCTCTCCTTTGTCCTTTGGCTTCCTTACCAAGCGAGGTCAAGGCATGATCATTTCGCTTGCTGTTTCTGTTGTTTGTGTTATGCTTCCTTTGTTGTGTGTTGTTGTTTTGTCTGTTTCTCTCTTTCTCTCTCTCTCTCTTTCTCTATCTCTCTTTGTCCCCCCTCAGAAGAAGAAGGAGCACACAACCACTGCATAAACATAATCTCTCAGAGTTTCGCGCACATCCTCTTGGATCGGCATTGGGACCCCTTGGCGGCGCCTCAGGTGCCGTCCCTGGCGCGCTCCGCGCGCCAGGGAGGGAGGCCCAGCGCCGCGGGAAAAAGTCCGTGCGGACCTTCAGGCATTATGTTTATGCAGCTTGTCGTTGCTGTCTTTCCAAGCCCGCAGGACATGACGGTCGACGTGAGCAAGATAGAACGCAGCGGCCAGGTCTGCGTGATGGGCGTGCCCAACTCGGGGAAGTCCTCGCTGGTCAACGCCCTCGTGGGGGCCAAGGTGTCCATCGTGTCGCCGAAGCCGAACACCACGAGGCCCGGCTCCTTGGATGGCCCCCCCCTCGATTCTCGCTCCTCCTCGATCCTCGCTCATCCTCATGCTGCCCCCCTCCTCGATCCTCGATCCTCGATCCTCCTCGATCCTCGATTCTCCTCTTGCTCCTCCTCATGCTGCCCCTCGATCCTCGATCCTCCTCGGTCCTCGGTCTTCGATCGAGGGGGGTCCTACCCTCCCCATGCCGCCCCCCTCGCCCCCTCCATCTTCCTGGTCCTGCGCCACTCGTCTCGCCACCATTCCAGCGAGGACGAATTGCAGAAACGGACTCGTGAGGTTGCCCTCGGAGGCAGTAGTGGGGCGAGGGGTAGGGATCTGATGCGCGGAGGGACCTCTGGCGATTTTTTCGCAGGCGCCCTGAGCTCGCGAATTTGTGCTGGGCCCCCGTGGCGTTGCCTCTGGCGCCGCCTCTGGCCCGCTCTCGCGCGCCAGAGGGGGGTGTGAGCGCCGATCCAAGAGGTCCGCGCGGTTTTCCAGAAATCGGGTTCATGCCTTTTTCCTGTTACTTGCTACTGTAGTGGCCTTCGGCCAGTGCCGCCGATCCGGGTCGCTCGGGGTCATTCTCCAGACGCAGACATTATGGGCGCACATTCAAACGCACACACGCAGTCACACCACCCAACCCACGCCGCAGACTAGGCGCACGCCAGACACTAGCACGCACAGACATTTGCAGACACGCATCGCACACAGACACTCGCACAGACGCGCACACCTGAATTTGTTTGGGCGTCGCGTGTGATGGGGTTGGTGGGGGGTGCGTTCGAAGCGTAAGTTTGTGCCGAGAGGCCAGACTGGCGTCGCGGGGTCTCGCGCCGAAAGTCCGGGACGACACGTAACTAGCAGCTGCCGACCAATTGCTTTTTAGTGGCTCTCCACGTGCCCACAGCCTCGCGCCGAAGAGTCGGGACGAAACGTCCGCATTATTCGAAACTTGAAGTACATCATTTCGTGCGTTCGTCCGTTTATCTCGTCACCTCATCTCGTTTGGGCGTCGTGTTTGAACGGGCCGTCGTGAGCAAAAATTCGACGAGCCCCCGTTTTCTCCCACTCCCCAGATCTCCGACGTCGTAAAAATATCAAAGCGAAGGTTTCGGCCTTTAGGGGGCCTCGCAAGGTCCCAGGAACGTCACGAAACGACCCCAGATGAAGAGCCAATCCTGGGGAAAGGGTCGGGACTCCCGAGGAGTGCGTATGGAAAAAGGCACGACATCGCATGTCTGGCTCCGTCCTCGTCCCGCTCATTCGGTCTCTCCCCGTAGCAACCCCTGTTCCTCAGCCTCCTCACTCATCGCGCTCCTCCCGTCGGTCTGTCTCCCTCCTCTCTCCGTCGTCGTCGTCTCGGGGTGCCGCCATGAGCGGTGGCAGCGGTTGCCCCTGCAATGTTGTCATTGGCTCCTTGGTGCAAGCGGCGCTCCCCTGATTTTCCTGCTCCTCCGCCTCGCACTCGGCGCTTGGTCAGACGGTGCAAGAGGCCTCGTTTCGCGGCTTCCCTCGACTTCCCGCGGGATTTGGCATGGCAAGTCGCGGCTATAGTTCTTCATGTGATGACGTGCTCCAGAGACGCATGGAAATCGCACGTGCAGGATGGATTGACGAGGGAGCGAAACATGTGGCCTGGACGATGTGGTGCGGGCGGTGGAGGCGAGCCAATCGGCGCAAGGACGCCCTCTTGGGGCGTCTTGGAGCGTGTTTGGGGGCACCTTAGGGGCCTGTCAGGGCGTCCTAGGGGGCTTCTTGGAGACTTTTGGGGGCTCTTTTGGGAGCTCTTAGGCGTCTGGGGGCGTTTTTGGGGGCATCTTAGGGGCCTGCCAGGGCGTCCTGGGGCGCTTCTTGGAGGCTTTTGGGGGCCCTCTTGGGAGCTCTGGGGGCCTCCGCTTTTTCCACTTTTCGTCCCTCTTTGGGGTCTTCTTGGGAACGCTTGGGGGGGCTCTTGGGCCGTCTTGGGCGGCTCTGGGGCCGCCTTCGGGCTCTCTTGGAAACCACCGGGTTTGCTTGAAACTTACCCTAAAACGTTTGGTTTCTCTGAAAAAGCGCGCTGCGACGGTTTCATTGCCAGCCGCGGAAATCCAATGGTTCTATGCGTCTGCCGGCAGGCCTTGAGCGCGTCTACAGAGGGGCCGCGGAAATCCAATGGTTCTATGCGCCTGCCGGCAGGCCTTGAGCGCGGTTACAGAAAGGGCCCTCTGTAAAATCGCAATTCCCCCGCCCCTCCTTGAGCGCATCTACAGAGGGCCCCTCTGTAAAATCGCAAATCCCGCGCCCCCCATGGAGCGCATCTACAGAGGGCCCCTCTGTTAAAACGCCAATCCCGCGGGGGCCTGAATTGCGTTGCCCCTTGAGCGCATCTACAGAGGGCCCCTCTGCAAAATCGCCAAACACCCCGCATCCGCCGGAAACTCGCCCCCCCCCCCCATCCCCCCTTCCCCGGCAGAGCCACCCCGGCAACCCCCCCAGAGGCTGAGGCTCAGCCTCGAGGCTGTAGCTGAGACTCCTTGAAACTCACACGCCGGATCGGCGGATTTCCTCTTCTCGAAACCACCGTAAACCCACGAACTCGGGAGCGAGTCTCCGTAA